GGCAGGCTTCTCCCTGCAGGTTTCACAGAGAACATGGTCCTGTGACACCTTGAGCTCACGCTTCCAGCTCCGAAACTGTGAGACAATAAATTTCTGTAGCTTTAAGCCACCCAGCTTGTACTACTTTGTACAACAGCCCTTGGAAACTACACAAGGTTACTTTTCCATCTATTTTTGGCGGCTTTTGTTAGATGGTCCAGGCACCTGATAGAACAGGATTCGTTGTGCTGCATTATGTTTGTCTTCCCCGACTAAGCAATGAGCAGGAGCTGTGTTTATTCATCTGTATCTCCACACACAGTAGTTGCTCAATAAATGCATGTTTGATATATGCATAACCTATGGACACAGACAATAGGGTGGTGAAGGCCTGGGGCAGGGAGCTGGGGTCAGGCTGGAGAGGATCAATGGAAGGGAAAAGGGAATATATGTAATACTTTCACAATAAAGATTTATTTTTTAAAAAATTAAAAATAAATAAATGGATGTTTGAATCAATGAAAGAATCTCAAAGAACCTCTGTGATTCACCTTGGCTGCTAGTCCACATCCAGCCTCTAGCCCTCAAATATCAAACTACTTTCCTACTTAATAAGTATGCAATACAGATCTCATAACATAGAAACCCACACCTGAACCCTATATGTTCATGTTGACCAATGTTACCCCAATAAATTTAATTTTTAAAAAAGTATGCAAATGTGCCAGGTCTGAGAAACCAGGGCAGCAGCAAAATGGACCTAAAGGACACATGGGACCTGAGACACACAGCCTCAACTTTGGATCTGCCTCTTACCTCTGAGCATGTTTGAGCTACAAACTTGGCCTTTTAGGGTTTTTTGTGGGTTTTTTTAAGTAAGCTACAGACAATTGACTTGCTTTACTGATTTGCCTGTAGAAAACTCCTTAAAATTAAAAATCAGTGTCATATCAATGTTAAGTGTACATTTGAGTGATATAAGCTGTAATTCAGTGTTTCGTCCTCTCAATACATTGCACACACATGTGAACACATACATGCACATGTACACGTGTGTTTGGATGGATATGTGTATAAATTTCTGATGTTGGTGTCAACACCATTTAGTTTGATACATTATGATCTTTACAATTAGGCTAATGAAATTATTACTGTACATGCAGCCATATGGTTAGAAATAATCCTGTCATCATTAAATCAGTTAAGAAAAGATTCTATGTATTATAGAAGGAAAAGAAATAGTAAAAAAAAATCAGCTCATTAAAGTTTGTGTTTTCAGAAGTATTGATGCTTTAAACTTCTTCAAAATGTGTAACTTTAAAGATATCTAATTTATACCTCACTATAAAAAGTTGCATCTTGTTATTCATCCTTAGATGCAAATTGAGTTATTTCTAACCAAGAACCATCGTGACTTGGACATTGGAACCGGCCAGTCCATCTCAGTGGTTGCCCAGAGGCTCAGATGGGAAGAGAATGACTGCGCTCACCATCTGTTTCCCATATTGCCTGAGAAAACATCCAGAAAATCCACTTTCTCGGGGCAGCTAGCCTTCAATGCAGTCGCCAGAAAGAGAAATGCTTCCTGCCACAGTCAAAGGGAAGATACCTCGTTTCATGGTCAGAATCCCGATGGTCTGGTACGGTTTGAACAATATGACGCCAGAAAATCAAGAGGCCCCTGACCCATGTAAGTGCACGGCTTTGGGCACAAGTGTTTCGGTATGAGATGTGGTTACTACGAGGCCTTTCTCTGAGCCCACACTCAGGCCTGTCTACCTGCCAAGCAGTGCGAATTTCAGTCGTTTGCCCGAGGGTTAACCAAACCGTGGTTTCAAATTTGGAGGCATGTTTGTTTGTTTTGTTCATTAGATTCCACATGTAAGTGAGATCATCTGGTACTTGTCTTTCTCTGACTGGCTTATTTCATTTAGCATAATCCCCTTCAGGTCCATCCATGCTGTCACAAAGGATAACCTTTCCTTCTTTTTTATGGCTGAATATTCCATTACCAGAGGGAACAGGTGGGGGTGGGAATGGGGGTGGGGGAGAGGACAGCAGGAGGCACTCCGTTCACCCCTGCGTAGGGGGGTGGACAGGTAAAAGAGGAGAAAGGGGGGAGGGATAATAATTGGTGATGGAAGGAGCTAGACTTTGAAAGGTGAACACACAACACCAGAATTGTACACTTAAAACCTATATAATTTTATTAACCAATGTAACCCCAATAAATTCAATAAAAGTATTTTTAAAAATTAGAGGCATGTTACTTAAAATTAGCTATTGCTATAGGCTTGAGAAAAACACTTTTTTTTTTCCCTAACATTCAAAAATATTCTTGCCCAGACGTCTTCTGAGCACGGTCTTTGGAACCCTGGTGGTTGTAAAGAGTTCCCTTGGGGTTACCCCAAAAGCTTACGACAGCACTGCTCCTTTCCCCTCCTCCTTCCCACCCTGGAATTTTGCTCTTGAAAAGCCAGGCAGAACTTGAATTTTGTTTTAGTGCATTGTAGCAGGCACTCAGTAAATAGTTATTGAATGACCTAAAAGATTCAAAATCTATGTGCTTAGTGAATTTTGGATTAGCAGATGCTAAATGATGTCACTGCTTATGAATGCAAGCCAGACCAAAACGACCTTTGTAGTTAACGAAAGCTGCAGGAAGGACACACGGTGACAGCTCTCCTCTCGGGGTCGCCTTATGGGGATTTCAAGCAGCCTGGGCCATTCCCCCTGGGGAAGAGAGGAGCCAGCAAAGAGAACGCAGAGATCTTGAGGCCCTTTATGACCTCTAACTGCTTTATGTAAACAGAGAAACCAAACGAAAAAAACCAAACAACTCCCAACCCGATGTGGCCAGACCACAGAGGGCTGCGTGGGAGAAATGAGGGCCCCTAAAAGATCTGAGTCAATATGCACATCTGAGATCCATCCTCAGCACTGACTGGAGGCCAGGCACATCCTGGACAGCATCTCCCCCATGTGCTGGCAGGAGAGGACAGCAGGAGGCACACCGGTCATCCCTGAGCACTTGGGAAAGCCTTTGAGGCTGACGTTCTGAGATTTTTTTTTTTTTCTATTTGCTGGCCAAATGGGTTCCTGAACTTGCAACCATGCCCATTTTACCTTTTTCAAAATGAAAAAAAAAAATAGCCATTTTATTAGAGGTATTCTTAACATGCACAGATAGACACGTGCGCGCACACACACAACCAGGGCATAAAATCAATGCAAATGATATTCATAGTGAGCCAAGCTAGTGCAGGAGATATTGGGTGGACCAGCAAGTATGACTTCACCCACAGATCAAAGTGTCTGTCCAGCAAATGTTTCTCCGGAGCCAACTATGTGCTGGGAACTGTGATGTGGATAGGGTGATGATAAACCAGACAGTCTCTGCCCTCTTGAGTTAACATTCTATTGAGGGAGACAGACAGTATGGGAAAGAGTAATATTCTCACAGGAGAGGGAAGGGGGGGGTGAACTGGTTGGGAAGCTATGGACGCTCACGCTCTGTAAAGTTGGAGCAAAGGAGAGAATGAGCACGTGTGAACATCTGAGGGAGACCATTCCAGCAAAGGAAACAACACAAGCAAAGACCCTGAGGGAGGAATGTGCCTGACCTATTCAAGTAAAAGTCAAGCCAGGGAGACTGGAAGGCAGAGATGGAGGCGATTGGCTGAGGACCGCTCAGGAGTACATGTCACAGATTCTGTTGGCCTTTGTTATGCTTTTGGAAAGTTTTGATTGGGGAGTGGCATCCAGGTACAATGCGGTCCATTGATAATCTTGGAAAGGGTGTTAGTTCTGACAGTTGGACCAGTGTCCTTGGCAGGCTTGTCTGGGTTGGCCAGAGGGCCATGGTTACTTGCAGGAGTAAATGTCCATCCAAGTCTCTTGGACACTATGGGCCTAAGTCCTGCTACCCAGCCTCTGGAGATGTCCCTCCTCAATAGTCTGGGAAGGGTGAGCTGGGGAGTGAGACAAAATGCAAACCGCAAGTCAGCAGGTCCTTCAACTTGGTCCAAGTGTAGGGGGAAAAGGGTGAACCCACAGCTGATCTGAGGTCTGGGAAATAGTTGAGCCATGTCTGTCATTGGTATTTGCCCTTTGCTTTAGAGTCATTAATCCAGTCCAAGTCGACTCTTTTATTCATTTATCAGTTTAGTTTGTTTTATTATTTCTTTTAGAAGAAGCCCAAGGCCAGGAAAGTAGTGGTTTTTCTTCTTTGCTTTCAAAAGATTTTATTGAAATAACAACTTTGGAAGATAAGATGGGAACAATTTCTGTATAACACATACTTACTCAGCTTAGCAAATACTTTAAAAGTAAGCTAAGGGACGAAGCATAGGCGTTGACATCTGTTATCTCTGTGTTCTAGCTCCAGGAGACAGAGGGAAGATGGGAGGAAACGGGGTTTCTCTCCTCATACTAAACCGAATGCAGAGTTTGAAAATACAAGGTGAACTGCCATGTGTCTCCTTTCCAGCCTCCTTCCTTCAGTCATCGACTTCTTAAGTCCTCCAAAGAGCCCTACCATGCCCACTTGCTCCTCCCTCCTCCCCACCCCAACCTCCCCCTCTTTCCTCCCCCACCACTTCAGACAGGGAGGGAGCTGAACCAGAGGTCTGAGAGCTGAAACAACATGAAAGCCCTCAGACTTGGAATGAAATCCAGTCTCCTCCACTGGCCCCCTCCCTGCCCTCCAAGCTCCTTTCCTCCCTCCCTCCTCTTTCTTTCTCTCTTCTCTCTTTCGCTCGTATACCTCTTCTATTCTCACTTCACTTTCCTTCGCCTAGAAGGCTAAGTCGAATGCTCCTTCTCCGTCTCCTTTACTCTCATCTCCTCCTTCTTCCTTCTCTTCTCCTTTCTCCTTCTCCTTCTCCTTCTCCTTCTCCTTCTCCTTATACTTCTACTTCTACTTCTCCTTCTCCTTCTCCTTCTTCCTTCTACTTCTCTCTCCTTCTCCTCCTCCTCCTCCTCCTCCTCCTCCTCCTCCTCCTTCTTCTTCTTCTTCTTCTTCTTCTTCTTCTTCTTCTTCTTCTTCTTCTTCTTCTTCTCTTGCTTCTAAAGAATTGTAAGGAAAATCTCAAGTAAATGGTATTCAGTAAGTGGTTTCCTGCCTCAGTATTCAAAGCTTGAACCAAAAAAGGAAGTAAGTTAAGACCTCCTGAGCAAGCATCATGTGCTGAAGCCTGCAAGGCAGGGGTTCATACAGTTGCCACATGAAGAAGGTGAGGGGCTTGCTCATCAGCTGCAATGCTGGCACCAGAGCCCTGCGGGGTGCTGAGCTCCCCCCCGACCCCCGGCGCCTCTCCCCCCTTCCCCCCCCCCCGGCCACGCCTGCAGCATACTCCAGGTCTCTCCTTGGGTGTCCTCGTCACTGAGGGATGCCTCTGGGACAACAGTGACCTGCAGTCTCTCAGATTCTTAACCAGCCACTGAGTTGTCCATCATCAGCTTTGGGGCAAAGGCCCTACCTTTGACTCAGAGCTTAGGGGGTGTGTCTTGAGGGTTGAAGGGAGTGTTGTAGGCGAGGGACTGCTTTCTAGAATGACAGCTCATCTGGACACCCATCCTTTGAGGCTTCCAAGGCACCTTCTTTTCCCAGGAGTCACGCTCATCCTCCCTCAGGCATTAACTCACAGGGGACAGAAAACAGTTGCGTGTTCCAAGCAACTGAGTTCATCACTGGCCAGAACTCCATTTACTTTTCAAATTTTTAAATTAAATTTATTGGGGTGACATTGGTTAATAAAATTATATGGGTTGCAAGTGTACAATTTCATAATACACCACCTGTATATTGCCTTGTGTGTTTACCACCCAAAGTCAATCTCTTTCCATCACTGTGCTATCTCTGCTCCCTCTACCTTTTTGCTATCTCCACTCCCAGCCCCCTTTCCCTCTGGTAACCACCATACTGTTGTGTCTATGGCACTTGTTAGAATGGTTATTAGCACCCAGGTTGTGTGGCTCAATGGTTGAGCATCAACCTATGAACCAGGAGGTCATGGTTGGATTCCCAGTCAGGGCACATGCCCAGGGTTGTGGACTCAATCCTCAGTGTGGGGCATACAGGAGGCAGACGATCAGTGATTCTCTCTCATCGTTGATGTTTCCATCTCTCTCTCCCTCTTCCTTCCTCTCTGAAATCAATTTTTTTAAATGAAATAAAAAAGGAGTCCAGCCAGCACTTACCAGTAGCAAAGGTGGGCTCCCACATGCGTGTTCAAAGAGCAGGGTTAACTAGCTAGTCCTGAGCACTTATATGATTTTGTCTTTTCTCCTTCCTTTCCCAGCACCTCCACCCCACCCCACACACAGAGTTTTATTTTTTGATGAGAGGTTGGCAGCCTCAGAGTTGGAACCTTGAAACAGGACATTCATTAGTGTTATGTGGAAGAGGGATTAAACAGAATCTGAATTGCTCCAAAGGACAGAATAAGGCTCAAGGGAGGACAGGGGGGTTACAGAGAGGTAGATATAGGGCTAATATTGAGAGAGGTGCTGGTAACTAGAGCTGCCTCACAGAGGAGCAGCCTGCTTGGTGAGGCAGTAGCGGCTGTTACTCGCAGGGCACAGAGATGGCTGCACAGCCTCTGATTAGGAATGTGGGGGACCTCAGCATCCCATGGTCCTTCCAATTCTAAGACCCTAAGACAGCTTGAAATAGCTTACTCACCATCATCTTTTGTTGAATCATTTTATTAAATCATCACTTCCTGAGGTCACTATGACTCATGCATGGTCCATGGGGAAAGCTTTGAATCTCCGTATCCTAAATGCACTCCTTTTGAACCTTTAAGGAAGAAGACAAATTTATAAACAGGGAGTGTACACTTGCCTTTCAAAGATAACTTACATACATTTCTCATGTGTTTGAAAAGAACAACGCTAGAGATGGTTTGCTTGGAGGGCCCTGACAAAATGTTCCCCAAACCCAAGGAGTCCAAATTGATGTCCCGATCTCAGTAACAGCCAGATACATCCTCCCCTTGGCCTAAAAATCTCTGCTCCGCACCCTGGGCCCAGCTTACGCCTGCCTGGGGCTGTGGAGGGGACTCGCTGACCCTCTTCTTAAAGAAGTAGGGAACGATTTGCCACTGCTATTGCGAACCCGCCATGTGGCCTCGGGAAAGTTAGTGTCCCCGTGTCCCCGAGTCTCAGTTTCCTCATGTGAAATATGGAGATTATGATAATACCTAGTGTACAGAGTTCCTGCTAGCATTGAATTAAGTAACACAGGTAATATACTTTTTGCAGTAGCTGACATATGATACTCTAAAAAAGGTTAGCTATGCTTACTGTTCTTAACACCATTAATATCGTCTTCATCACAGTCTGTAGTAAAAATTACTACTACAGAGAGAATACTGAGAAATCTCGTGGGATTGCCTCCTGGATGCTCCACATTCTCAGCATTAGAACAGCACAAGCATCCCACAGGCATGAGTGTCCTTGCTGTGCCCCGGGTGGCATCCTTGCTAGCTCCGGGCTCAAGAGAAGCTGGGTAACAGCACTCCTGAGACCGGCAATATTCCCCAGACCTTCGCTACAGAAAGTGTGGTCCGGGACCAGCAGCACCTGGAAGCTGGTCAGGAAATCAGCTTTGGGGCCCAGCCCTACTTTTAATTCAGCAGCGAGGGGGTTTGTGTGTTAGAGGACTGTGAGGGGAGTTGTCCTGTTTTCTCCAAGGTTATCTTTTAAGCCAACATTAAAAATAGTAAAATGTTCCAGCCTCTCCACCTCAGCCAAACATACATGAATTTGGTATATTCTCGGTGCTCTTAGGCAATGAAAGCACAAAAGGCTCTTTTTCTAATGGTACCTGATGAGCCAAAGTAAAAAATGAATGTCTTACCATAGAGGAAGCTCTAATTCAGATGAACCGCAGAAAGCATCTCTATGGTACGGGCTTCAGAAAATCAGCCTAATGCCCCTCCAGCATTCAGTACAGTGCCTGATGTACAGTAGATGCCGAAAACATAATGGACAGATTGATAAAAAAAATCTGTAGGGGTTTCTAGTATCAAAAGGATTAAATCCAAGTAATGTATTCTAGAATTCTATGCCTACCACATCCGGTTCTTTTTTAGATAGTCTAAAAGTTCCGCACTTCCTGTGAATATTTGTGTTTATTATCAATGACAGTGATAGACAAGAGTTGGACTAGGAATTTAAAAGTTTGAATCATTGTTCCAGAGAGGCAACCCCCTCTGATCCAATGAATGGAAGCACAAAATTGCATCATTTCCCTAAACCTCTTTGGAGAACAAGTACTCAATGAATATGGAAAAAATTTATGGAATGGCAACATTCATATAAAATTCACAGAGGACATCAAAGTAGATGTGGATAAGCCCTGTTTGTGGGTGAAGTCAAGGACTCTAGGATTGGTTCTGGTGTCTGTTTAACTTTGCAAAGGTTCTGAAGCTTAGAATCAGAGGCCATAAAAGGCCTGAGGGGTCATCTGACAAGTCTGACCCACCAATTACACAGACAGGCAAACTGAGATAAACTATGGCTAAAGAGAAACTGTCTTGGCCATGGCAGAGCCAGAACTTGGAAGCTTTTAGAAACACTCCAGGTCCCTCATCACAAGACCACATCTCCATGTTGGAGGATCTTTGCTTCCATCCCTGAAGAAATTGGAGGTGACCAGTCACTGTATCTGACCCATTGCTCTCTCTTCAATAGCCTATCCCCATCAGCAGCCCAGACTCCCACCTCCAGTCAATCGAGGAAGGCCAGGTCTGAGGCATTTGCATGCTAAGCTGGTCCAGCCGTCTGAAGCCACGCCTCTGTGGAGCACTCCCAGCATCTAAGCAAAGAAGCCGGTTCACTGTCATGGCATGTTCACAGTTTAGAACTTGCTGTTGTTGTCTTTTCTCAGACCTAGTCCAAGGACTAAATAGAGAGGTGACATCAAACATTTGGGCAAACACAGCTGTCAGAGCCACCCCTGTGCACTATGGGAAAGTAGCTGGTCCTCCTCCAGTGATGCCTAGGAGTGGGCTCACACCGAAAGGTCATTGGCTACCAGATAGCAAGCTCAGTCAGCGCCCGCGATGTGACAGTTGTTTGGAGTCCATTAATGCTGGTTTTACCCGAGAGTTTATTGTTTTCTGAAGCAACCATGGCTTATTATGGCAACCAACATTGGTTGTTTATCCAGTGTCTGTGGTTTAAACAGAAAAAGGAATGTGTCCATCTTTAAGAAGAAGCCAACAAACACTGTATGTGAGCCAGGAAGGGGGATGGACACACTGTTCTGGCTGATCAACAGATGGTGCCACAAAAACCCTTGGAGACCTCACAGGCCATACAAACCCACTCCTCATTCCCCACCTGGGCCAGGGTAGTGCTGGGACCTTCAAGGGCAGAGGAGGTGTGGGGGGCAGAGGGGAAGGGGGATGGCATATATGGAGTCACATATCTCCTACTTATTTTCTCTCCAAAGGACCACAGGCTTAAGTTGCAGCCAAGACAGAAAACTCTCCTACAATAAATGGAAGTGACTACAGACCATGAACGGGACCAAAAAATATTCATTCTGAGAGTCCAAAAAATGACTCCAACCAGACCCTCCAGAGCACCTTGGAGTTTATTGAAAAGTAAAAAGAACTCTAATATCTTCAAATGCAATCTGCCTGCTCTCCACACAACATTCCTGTCAGACAAATTTCAGTGCCTGCTTGAACCGTTCCAAGGTCGGGGATTACTCAGTGTTGAGAGGCAGGTCTTTTGGGCCATCCCTGCATTGGTTCTGTAATTGTTCAATAAGAAATCTTTGAGTGCCGAAACCGGTTTGGCTCAGTGGATAGAGCGTCGGCCTGCGGACTGAAAGGTCCCAGGTTCGATTCCGGTCAAGGGCATGTACCTGGGTTGTGGGCATATCCCCAGTAGGAGATGTGCAGGAGGCAGCTGATCGATGTTTCTCTCTCATCGATGTTTCTAACTCTCTATCTCTCTCCCTTCCTCTCTGGAAAAAATCAATAAAATATATTTTTTTAAAAAAAGAAAAAAAAAGAAATCTTTGAGTGGCAAGGATTACTAGAGTAAGAAAGAGAAGTAAGAAAGAACCAAATTTTGCAGAGTCTAGTAACTTTAAAAATACCAAAAGCCCTAACCGGTTTGGCTCAGTGGATAGGGCGTTGGCCTGCAGACTGAAGGGTCCCAGGTTCTATTCTGGTCAAGGGCATGTACCTTGGTTGCAGGCACATCCCCAGTGGGGGGTGTGTAGGAGGCAGCTAATCAATGTTTCTCTCTCATTGATGTTTCTAACTCTCTATCCCTCTCCCTTCCTCTCTGTAAAAAAATCAATAAAATATATTTTAAAAAATAAAAATACCATAAACAAAAGGAAAACTGGTAAAAAAAAAAAAAGTTGCAGTATAAAGGAGAATGTGGTTAATTTCCTAATACTATACAGAAGCACTTATATAGCAATTTGAAAAAGAAATCCATTTTTTTTAAATGAGAAAAGGCTATGACTAGACAGTTCAAAGGAAAAAAAATAAAGGGCTAAAATCAAATGAAAGGAGTTTTTATGTCACACATAAAGAAATGCAAATTCAAACCATAAAATGGTGTTTTTCACCAAGGCTTGACTAACGGTCAATCATTTGATAATACCCAGAATGTTGGGAAACAGATGCTCATACTCTTTGAAGAACAGTTTAATTATTGAAATTTAAAATGGGCGCACCCTGTGAAATTTAGTTCATAGATATATTTTATGAATGCACAGAAAAAATCCTCAGCAATATTCACAATAGAAGAATGTTTGCAATGGGGGAAAGTAAACAACATAAATGCCCACCAATAAGAAATTGGGGTCATAAATTAAAAGCACATTTAACACGGAATGTCAAAATGAATGAGGTCAGTCTATATAAGTGAATATAAAAAGATCTATGATACCCTAAGTGAAAAACAGAAGGTGTAGAATTGTGCATAGAGTATGAGTTTATTTATGTAAAAAAGTATGCTTGTATATTCATAGAAGTTTTTGCAAGAAGACACAAATTATCAGTAGTTAGCATTTATTCAAAGTTTAAAATACCCAAAGGCAATGCTATATTTCATCTATGGATACATATATGTAGCAAGCAGAAAATATGTATGTAACTGAGACATAATACATTTTGCTTTTAGGGGAAAAAGAGAAATAAAATTGGCAAAGGACTCCCCCCACCTCCCAGAATCTTAAATTATATCTTAATGTTTTATTTCATTAATAATATATCTGTAACTTTTTTCAAATATTTTAAGGGAACAAAAAAGACATACAAAATACTGATTTGACTCTACCCTTTAAGCTTTATAAAATCTCTTAAAATAATCAGTGATACAATGATGACTCATTTTTTGTTTGCAATGCGAGAGCCTGCAGTGAGTAGGGATTAACATTTCCTTGGAGAAATTGGATCTACTTGGTAGAACATTCTTGTACTAATCATTCTTGTTTGCCAGATTTTTCTATTAATACAGTTGAAAAGGAACAGTTGTGCTTTCATGGTGTGTTTCTGTTTATTGTCAAACAGCAGCTGATAGTTCATCAAATTAGCCGATGTTTTAGTGTTGGGGAAACATTCCCTTACCTTCCTCAGCCTTGCCTTGCAAATCTCTCACCAAAATTACTGGACCTTTGGTAAGTCATGGATCTCCAACTAAATATCACTGGCAGATATTCTTTGAACCGTGTGTGTGTGTGTGTGTGTGTGTGTGTGTGTGTGTGTGTGTGTGTGTGTTGGCGGGGGGAGCGGGGGTCTTCCTTTTCTGGAGAAGCTAAAATGTTAAAATTGTTCATTAGGAGCTGTAGGCAGGGCTCTTAGATCTGCACAGCAGAATTCTTCCTTAAATACTCAAAATGCCCTCCTGCTTACAGACCCCCACTGACGTCTTGGGGGAACTCTGGGCGAGATGATTTAGAATCCACCACCCAGACTGCTGTGTAAGAGCTTGGTGACTTGGCACTAATTGACTTTTTGTCCCTCTGATTCAGGGACTCATAGTAACATGTGGGCAGGAGATGGTTCTTGCTTTGAATACCAGAGTAAGTGGCTTATCTCTGTGCACTATACACATTTTACTCTCGGAGTATCAAAGCTGAGTTTTACATATACGTAATGGATTTTTCTTCTAAGCACTGTGCCATGGATACAGTGGTGAATATTACCTAATGAGTGGCTCACTTCTAGAAGTCACTTTTCAGAAGACAATATCCTAACTAGAAACCTGGGTAAAACTCTTCATTCTCCCTAATTGATTTGTTCCGGCTTCCCAACTTGAGGCACACTGGCCACAAATTAGCTGAAGGAAGTTTTATAGAAAGAAAAAAATCCACTTTACATATTGTGCCACCAGCAAACCCCAAGAGGGGTATGTTTCTGTTTGAGATCTCCAATGGGGCCCTGGCTGAGTAGCTCAGTTAGGCATCGACACGGTACACCAAGGTTTTGGGTTTGATCTAGTCAGGGCCCATACACGTATCAACCGATGACAGAGGCCTTCCCGACCTAAGCTTGGTGCCCGCTGGGTGTCCTTTGCTGTCCACTCTCTGTTGTGTCTGGAAGGCAAGGGCTTTTGCATAGATATCCGTCCACCTCACGCCTAGTCTGGTGGCCTTCCTCGTCCATCCAGGGCGATCAAGATCTCATTGCCATTCCAGATGCCAGCAGGTGAATGTAGACTCAGCCTGTGGACTTGGCTAAGAGGTAAGCTCTTCCCCTCAGCTCTCAAAATTAGCCTTTCTTTCTATGAAGCTTTGCAGGATTTTTATTATTTCACAGCCACCATTTATTGAGCACTAGTATGCTCTAGCCTTACATTGTCCAGTGCAGCAGCCACTAGACACATGTGGTTACTGAACGAACACTTGACATGCATCTAATTCAAATTGAGATGTACTCTAACTGTAAAATACAAAACAAATTTTGAAGACATTACTATGGAGGAACAAAGAGTCCTATGGAAAGTAACCTCACAGGGTGATTTGATCACAAATTCCTACCTGGGCAGGCCACCAAGGAGACTCATGACTGAGGCCAATAACTTCTTTTTTTAAAATTTTTATTGTTGAAAGTATTACATAAGTCTCCTCTTCTCCCCATTGACCTCTTCCCTCCCACTCCCACACACCCAGCACAGGCCCTCACCCCACCTAGGCCTCTAACTTCTTTAGTGAAAGCTTTTAAGCCAGCTCTGTCCATTTTTGTGTGTGCATCTTGTTTAACACAACTTTGAAATACCAGAAGTAATACCTTGAAGGGCGTATTAACCCTCAAGAGAGCACATAATCTTGTTAAATATCCTGTAATCCAATCTTGCCTTGTTTTCTCCCATCCTTAATTTCAAATCCATAAAAGAGGCTGCAAAACTTATTCTCTGAAGCCTTTGAGATCTTGCTCCTGGCATGTCATCAGTTTGGCTCAAATAAACTCTTATGAAAATTATCTACAGGTTTGGACATTTCTTACCCTAATGGCACAAAATTATCTCATTAAAATTTAATCCTTCAAATATTTATTGAGGGTCTCCTAGGGATTGGGCACTAAAGCAGGTGTTAGGTGCATGGTGGGGTTTGTGAAAGAATCAAAGCCTTTGTCCTGGTGGAGACAGACAGTAAATACGAAAGCAAAAAGATGCATAATCACAAAACAGGATCAACGTGACGGCGAAACAGCCAGGGTGTTTCGACAGATAATAACAAAGGTCAGAGGTGAGACCTGTTTCAAACAGTGGTTTCTCAACCTTCCTAATGCCGCGACCCTTTAATACAGTTCCTCATGTTGTGGTGACCCCCCCAACCATAAAATTATTTTCGTTGCTACTTCATAACTGTAATTTTGCTACTGTTATGAATCATAATTTAAATATCTGATATGCAGGATGTATTTTCATTGTTCGCGACCCACAGGTTGAGAACCGCTGATAGAATGTCCTGGAAGGTCCACCAAGAAAGTGACACTAGCGCTAAGACTGAAAGTAGAGTGAGCCAGGCATGCAAAGACCAGGGGGAGGGAGGACTTCAGAAGGAAAAGGGAGTGGGTCCTGGGCACCATCAGTGAGGGGCCATTGGGCACATGTGCAGCTGCTCAGGGAAGCAGGGGCGGATCATGCAGGTCTGTTCGGTCAAGATAAAGAGCTGGAATTTCATTCAAGGTAAAAGGGAAAGCCAGGGGAGGGCAATGACTTCTTTATCTTATGCTTAAAATGGGTTCTTCTGGCAACTGTGTCAAGAATGGGTTGGAAGGGACAATCGCAGATGCACAGAAACTAGTTAAGAAGCAATGCAGCCAGTCATCCAGGCTAATGGTGTGGCCAGCTTGTTCTAAGGCGGCGGCAGAAAGTGCTGAGTGTCCCTAAGTCCTCCAGCTTTGGGGGCTGCGCGGAATACAAAGACAGTAAGATGCAAAGTGCTGAATGGCTAGGAGAGGCCAGCTCCCTTCCTAATATTTCTGAGGAGCACGGAGCGGACGTTACATTTTCCTGGTGGTTCCTCAGCCCTTGCTCCTGCTCACTAATCTAGACTCAGTACTTGATCCCCTCTCACTGTCCTGTGGCTGCCCCAGCTGCTGCGAACACGACTTTCCTGATTCCCTAAGGCGGCGCTAACACAAGCCTAACGAAGGCCTAAAGTTCCCCAGACACCTGAGCACCTGGACAGGCAGCCTTTGCTTATTATCCA